GATAAGTTCAAACAAGTAGGGGTATTGTCAGACACAAGCAGGCCTGCAATTGGGAATGGTGACAGAAATATTGAGGAAGTAAAGTGAGAACATTTAGTACATAAATATTCCAAATAACTATATGTTTTAAAATCATGTCATCATTTTAAAATAATATACAATACATACCTATTATTTATTTTGCTCATTTAATCATTTAATCAGAAGCTTATTCTTTATTAATTTGTGTTTACATAAAATAATTGCTGAGTGTAATGACTTTACAGCCAGTTCTCACTCAGTTCCACAGTGCAGGGGGACATATAAACTATGGAAGAAAGAAATAGTATGCTTTCAATGCAAGACACAGAATGAGAATTTTGCCAGGTGAAGAGTAAGCTAACAGATCGACAAAGAAAAACAATAAAAATCTATAATCATTATTTATGATCATGCAGCACAGTCATGAAATATGTATACTGTAGTGTTAACCATTTCTGGTTCTTCTGCTCATTGACTTTTAGTTTTGTGTTCACTGAGCTTTACAAGCTGGGGTGGAGTGGTGGCTCTGTGGCTAAGGATCTATGCCTGTGGCTGGAAGGTTGCTGGTTCAGATCCCACACCTGGCAGAGGAGTTGTACTCTATTGGGCTCCTGAGCAAGACCCTTAACCCTAACTACTCCAGGGGTGTTATATAATGGTTGACCCTGTGCTCTGACCCCAGGCTCTCTGCATGTCTCACGGAGAGCAAGCTGGGGTATACAAAAAGACAAATTCCTAATGCAAGAAATTGTATAGGGCTAGTGCTGTTATGAGCTGTATTCTACTGCTATTTTATTTGTAAGTGTCTAAACTGTTCTCCTTATCTTTTTCCTTTTATTTGAACAACAATGGCTGAACACTAAGCCCTGTGACAGTTTCCCTCCCCCAACCTCTCCCCTAAACACACACTCTGACACACCCTATAAACCAGGAAGATGGGGGGAGGGGGTCAATTAGCTCACTGTGGGTGCTTTCCCGGCAAGAAGAAAGTGGGTCAAATAATTTGAACCATTATTCTCTCCGGGCTGAAATGGAGTCACGCAGATGAATCAGTTCCACAATACGAAAGGGGGAACATCCTCTAGGGTAACTGAAGAAGCACGGATTCTGACATATCTATGGGGGTAAGAAAAAAAAGAAGTTGCACCTTCTAAGGCTCAGCTTTATGAGGCTTTTCATTAGTTTTAACCAATTATGTCTATTTTATAAAACCTGGCTGTCATGCTGAATTTTTTTGTCACTTTTCAGGAACAGAACACGCTCTATTATAAGGTTAAGAACAAATGGGGACAACATCATGTTTTAAAATGTTCAGAAACAGCGTAGCATGCTAAAGGAATGCTACCGAGTAGTGATTACAAGACTTCCATTCAAGATCTTACAGTAAGATTAATAATTTAAAAATACCACTGACACAGCTGCTAGTCCTACTTTTTTTCTATTGGCAATGTTGCTTTTACTTCTACAAATATCAACAGTACAGTGGTACAGTTGATTACCCTGCATAGATTTCTAATAAAATATGTTTGTCACATTTAGACGTGCAAACAGCGTTTGCTTTCTGGTTCTCAAACCTGGAAGAGGTTTTACAGTTATTTCAGTGCAGGATGTAATAGAGGATGGGTAGAGTCCTGATTTCCTGTATTGTACAGGTAGATAAAGGAAATGTTTTCTTTCTCCCAAAATATAATGCTGCTTCATTAAGTAATCCCATTCGCAGGCCACATTCTTTGTACTGTCTGGGGTTTTCTGCAACACAGAAAGTGCCTTAAAAGACATTTTGAAACTGTTGTGATCATGGGGAAGGAGAAGTAGTGGTTAAACTGTCCCCCAGCATAGATTTTTCTCCCACTCTGACAGATGGCTACCTTGCCCCTGTTACCCTCACTTGAAACCAATGTCCAGTTAAAATCTGGCTTTGGAGAAATGAAGCCTTGTCTCTCCTTACACACCAGACCACACACACAGACGCAGACATGTGTCATGATCAATAAATAATAAATACCCATGTCTTTGGAAAATTGTTTGATATCTTTCAGAAATATAGAGCTACCAAAAAAAAAAAGATCTTCTGGTCAAATATATTAAATGGCATTATTGTCTTCTAGGCTAAAATAAGAGGGCATATAATAGGAATGAAGAAACCCGTGAAGGTCAAAAAAATATATAGAACAGGTGGAGAAATAATTTAACCACCATGAACAGCCTATCTGTGTTAACGCCACCGAATAAAAAAATTGATGTCATAGTTTCACGCTGACTATTAGCTCAGCTTGTGGCTCTCTGTGAAAAAAGGGGATCTAGATGACTAAAATTCACGGTTTCTAGTGAAAAAGACAGAGTGGGGGAAGGGGGGTTGGTGAATTCTACAGGATGCTTCCTCCCAGCTTTACCGTATGTTCTGCTGTGGCATTTTCACTTCCAATGGCAAAACCCAGTCAGAATTATATTCCTCCTTCTCTGGCCATTATAAATGACCATGTATAGAACTGACATGCATGAAGAAAAGTCTGTCAGCGCATAAACTGTCTTCTATTAAAAGACAATGTATGGAAAAAGTTGAGCAAAAAAGTAAAATTGCTGACCTGTTGGTGATGATAAAAAGATGAACTGTTATGATAAAACAGAAACATCAAACAGGCAGTGTCAGGGATCTGTTTAGAAGGACAGTGAAAGCCAGGATCTGATGGGCTCTGTGCTTCATACCCAGATATAGTGTTGTACGCGGAGGCTATCTCGTACAGATAAAATACTGTGTAATAGCAATAAGCATGTTGCAATTTGAATGAATGAATTTCAGATGAAAACTTGCTCTAGTCCCTTATATAGTGTTTTGGATCACAGTTGTTCTAAGGGATGCAAATATCCTTTTAGGGTGATATATAGCAGAGTTCCGGTGTATTTTGCAATATTGTTTGATTCAAACAGTGCCACTCAGATCAGAAATAAAGTTCTGGTGACTCATTTCTCGACAACTTCATGTGGGTTATATGGGTGTAAGACCAAGGGCTGGTGGGGGCATGCAGGGTGTGGTTGCAGACTGTGTGCTTAAGGGGAAATTCAAGACTTCTCAGACAGGATCTGTAGCTTTCAAAAGGGAATTAACTCTTCCCTGCATAACAGACAGAAGCACATTTAACATGTAAATCTGGTTTAAACATCTTGAAAGTCATTTGAAAAGAGGATTCCTACGGCAGTACAAAACAAAGCATGGTAATTTGAACAATAACAATAAGCAGCTACCGTTATAATAAAACCGTCTGAACATATGGAAAACTGTCCTCATATTTCTGATTGTTCTGATTGTAGGCTGCCTTTTATCTTCTTTAATAAATCTACTTAAAATGCATGCAAAATTAACTTAGAAAAAACAATAAAACAAAAACTGTACAATTTGCACCATGTCTGTGAATACTGGCAATCACTCTAAATATTACTTTACTGTTTTTAAGATTAATTTTAATATTTGCATCCTACTAATGTATTATTTCGGGTGCAATTGTTTTCAGCAGTCACACATTCGTTATTTTGGTTTGTATTGTTCTGGTAATTGCACTTTTCTCCTTTCCTGTAATTGCAAGATTAACTGAAAAATAATCTAGACCCCGAATTAAACTGGAACTTTCAAGTTTTTCTTTTCAGTTCTTTGAAGGTATCTAGTATTAAATAAGGTTGCTACTCCCTCTAGTGTATAGAATTGTACAGCTTTACAGACCGGAAATCCAGGACAGAACAGTAGTTTACACCATCTGCAGTACTTTTCTTCAACACATTTTGGATCATATACATTTTGTATATAGAATATATGCTGGTATTTTATATTCTTGGTTTAAAAGTATTATTACTGAATTTAGAGCCAGCACGGTCGCAGTGAGAGCTGTTGCTTCACAGAATTTGGGTGCTGGGTTCAGTTTTGGACTTGGATACGTTCTGTGCGATTCCATGTTCTTCCCTTGTTTGTGTCGGTTTTAATCCTCTGGTTTCCTCCCACCTCCCGAACACTGCTGACTAGGTTAGCTGGAATCTCTAAATTGGCCCAGTGTGTGTGCATGCCACGTGACAAGTGCCCTGACCAGGGTGTGGTCGTACTTTTAGCCCTGTGCTCCCACTTTACCTTGACAAATATCAGGACTAATCTTCTGAGAATGGATGTGTTACTGAATCGATATATTTTATATATTCTGGATTATACATTATCATAATTTATTGTTCATACGTGTTATACCCTCTACAGACTATATAAACCACACTTTAAAGGTTAGTTTCAAGAATAAGGTATTGGGTTGGATCCCCACTAGACCTACTCCACATTTATCAGATCACTGACCTTGTAATATCAAAAGGTTATTATTGAAACTCAGTCTTTGAAGCGTTTGAAGATATTTTAAATGTTAAGGGAGCGCGACACGCAAATAAACATGAGAACTAGTACACAGCAAATTCAGCGGTATTTTCAAAGCCGAATAGACAAAAACGTCAATGAACCGTCACCTGTCGTGGAATTTAGGAAATCTTCGCAAAAAAAAATGTAGACGCAGGTATGGCTTTAGCTGACCAATTTATCCATACGGCGTTTGCAGTCACGAAGACTTAAAACACTATCGCTGATTGATAAAGCTTCAGGCTACAGATGTTTTGGTTGTTCTTTTTATTTCAATAATTACTTACATCCTAGCGACTGAGCACTTAATTAGGTCGTGATATTTTCAGCGTTTTATATTTTTTTCGTATATTTTAATATTGACCGTGCTTAACATCTAATCCTAATTGTAGTAGCAGTCTGCATCTGCGGGTGGACATGTCCTGCTTTTCGTTGAGCACCTACAATTGCGAAACGCTCGATGAGTTAACAACGCATTAACTCCTACACGTCTCTATTAGTCTCATCGTTATAATTAGAAAACATTTTAGTGCAACATGTTGCCTTTAGGTATGCAACCAACCAGAATATTCAGAATTGCGTCAGGAGACGTCATTATGAAGCGCCGGAAGCGAGTGAGCCAGGGCTCGCCGAGCTGAGCTGGAGTACCTTCAGTGTCCGTCTCAGTGGATTTGTTGTTGTGAAAGCCGATGCAACAAGGAGAGGTTTTGTGTTTCAGGAAATCTGGGTAGAAAACACAGACCTACAGTCCTGAACACGTTAAACACCCGAAGATTGTTGACTGTTTGGAAAAACTGACACGATGGACTCTGCAAACCAAGGTACAGTTTTTGGTGGCATTTAGATTCTAATCTGAGAAAGTACGCAAGTACCTTACAAATGGAGCAGGGAGGGCCCGACGACTGCGCTTTCCAAATAAAACGGACGGGGAAGAGAGCCAAGGAGGTGTAGTATTACAATGTGTCCAGGATAAACTATTCCTTTGTTTCAAGTGTGAAGACTTTTTCTCGCTACATCATGGACACGTCGTCATAATATTCTTCCCTTTCGTTCCGATCGTGAGTAAACAATAGGTTGTTTGTTTTGCAGGATACTCTCAAGGGATTTGTCGTAGTCGTGTTTTTTTAGAAGTGTCAACGATCCCAAATGTCCCATTTTAAAAATGTCACAGTTTTAAAAAAACGGACACGCATCTTATCCATTTTTAAATATTCTCCAAAGCGAGGATTTTGTCGCATTTTGTAACTTTTTAAGTTTCGCTTCCGCCGTTACACGTTATTGCTTAAAGAGCATTTCTTCCAAGTGTTAGTGTCGTTGACCATTGGAAGTAATTTTTTATTTAAAATAGTCACAGGTGCATAGCATGACTTCTGAGTTCTGAAGTCGAAGGCGATTCGAGAAGGATAGTATTCTAAAATATCTCGAAAGCTTGTGTCATTGCCGAGGGTGCATGTTTGTAACAAATTAATGTCATCTTTGCGACAGAGCGCTAACGGATGACCGTTTAATTAATTTCATTTTTGTGATGAGAGTGTGAGGTATCGTACTGGGAACAATTTAAAATTAAGATGGTGACTTGAACATATTTTTTCTTTGACTTCGCTCTCTCTTTTTTAGCTAATGGTCAAATTTTAATGGATGGTTAAGAATAGCATTGAAGCTGAAATGGAAAGAGGTGGAATTTATTCAGAAATGTCCCAAATGTCTCCAATAGTTCCGTAATTAATTTAGAACAATGCTTATCAGATGTTGAAGACTTGTGCTTAATTTGAACTTCCTTCTTAAAAGCTCTATTTCAAGGGAATAACACTTTAAAATCAGTTGAAGGGGAAGTTGCTGAAAATGAGAAAATGACTGTGGTTAGTAATAGAACAATTGAATTTCACCATACTGTAAAATGATAGTATTGCTGTTGAGCTTAGAAGTATATATTGGATTTTGTTGTTTGTGACATATCTACATCCCACAATAACATCCGAAACATTTATGAAAATGATAGTGAAAATTATAATTGTTGATGTTTTATTTATGCAAATGCATTTTGTTATCACAGGCACCAGTCTAGCACTTTGTATATTAGTAAATTATATCTTACTCATGCACTCACTGTTTACTTCCTGTTACTGAACATTGCAATGTCATCTCACGTATAGCCTAAGCATGCTCTCGTTGCATTCACGTAGGCCTCAATCAAGACATTTGGACAGTGATCTAATGCCTGCAAAAATGCCATGTTGTTCCATTTTATGATTTTGTTGCACAAAGGTGCTTATTGATTTGTTTACATGGACTTTTGCTGGAGATATGTCTGCTCTGTGTGTCAGTCTGAACTGCTGCACTGTTTTACTATTGATAACCACATGCAAACATTCAATAAATCTTTTCAAAAACAAGTCTATGTAGCTTCTTTATGTCAATGATATGCAAGATGTCTAAACCACTATCTTTATGTATGTGCTGGGCATGCAGATATCAATCTCAACTCTCCCAACAAAGGTCTGGGGTCAGACACCATGACAGATGTGCCAGTAGAAGGAGCTGCAGGTAACCCCAGTACCACATTGCCTACAGGCTTGAGTGAAGAGGAGACAGAAGAATTAAAGACTGAACTGAACAAGGCAATCTTGATTTTTTTTCTCTATTTTTATTAGTCCTTTGTGTCTGAAAAGTCATACTGAAAGAAGAAAACTTTTGCACAGACTCATTAGGACAAAGTAACAAGGACAAATTGCCATGTACTTGATCTATTTTTCTTTTCTCTGACCTATTCTGGAGTATTAATATTATCTCATCTGCATTACCTTGCCTGTGACAGATGCTTAGAATGATATAGTTTATTCCACTACTGTGTATTGAATAGTTTATACCACTGACTTTTTGTCACTACTAGCAAATCTGTGGTAATTAAGTTTCAGAATTTGAACTTGGGTCATAAATTATGAGGGTATTTTAGCTGACGTTTAAATACAGATTGTACGCTTTTCTTTCCTGTTTGTGCCCTTCATTGAAATCTGTGGTATGTAAGTATCTGCTGTGCTTTCTAGGTGGAAGAGGAGATACACACTCTGCGCCAGGTGCTTTCTGCCAAAGAGAAACATGCTTATGAGCTCAAAAGAAAACTGGGACTCACTCCATTGAATGAGCTGAAACAAAACTTAACCAAAGGCTGGCAAGATGTTCAGACCTCTACAGCGTACGTACCGTCAACGTATACATTAATGCAAAAATTCCATTCCTTGCAGGTTAATTTTGCTTGCTGAAAGGTCTTTTGTATTGTATGGTGTTGAAGTGACGATCGTCCTAATAGCTGTTAGGATCTTGAAAAGGCTGCTTGAGTCATGCTAGAATTGTCTTAGAGGCGTCCTAGCAACTCCAAAGCAATTCAGTGTGTGTCCACAAGTGGCTGGAAAATCATGTCATTGTGGTAAGTAGTTAATTGCTTTTTCTACGTACAATATAATTTGTCTTGCCTCATTAAAAACACTTGCATAGGGAAATCTATGGAGAGAAGACAACACTTATGAAGTGGTTTTCCTGACATTGTGGATTCCTGGAATGAAGAACTTAACAGCTGTCTGCCTTAGCTTAGAGCAAGGCACAGCATGGATGTCCTCTCTGCAGACAATTTCTGTACATTGGTTTTGAAATTTGCAATGGCGTGGGAAGAGACTTATTGCTTTAAATTGCAAATGCAGTGTGTTTTCCAAAAAAGTACCACTGCCTGGAAAAAAACAAGTGCCATTCTTGTTAACAATATTTCTGTTTTTAGCTTTGTGAAAACCACAGAGAAACTTGGAGAGTGGAATGAGAAAGTTACCAGTTCTGATTTGTGAGTCGCTTGTATAGTCAAACCTTGTCTTGTCCGCTCTGCTCTTTGCCTGCTTGCTGTACCTCTTTTCCAGGTTTGAGGTGGCTGTGTAAACCATTGAGACCCGTTTCACAGTACGGACTTCTTCACATTCTAGAAGCACAGTTGTTAGGCTGACCCAATTTGAACCAGGCTTGCATCTTGACAAACTTTCTTTTTTTCTTTTGACGTTGTGTAGCAAATCATTGCAAGCAATTGTTGGCATTTTATTTTGTGTGATTGGTTCGAGTGGTGTGATATTGGTCTCACGGTTACACTGGTGATATAACAGGACTAATAAGCAAGCTTTGAAGTCTGTTTGAGCTAACAGTGTTCAATTAAAAGTTTCGGATAGGACTTTAACCTCTTTTCTAACCTGATATTTCTTTGTTGTTCTTCCATTTTTACATACGTGTAGTTACTGTGAATTGGAATTTATGATACGTTTTTGTAGTTACTGCTAAGTATTCGTCTTTAACTACTCCTGAAAATATTTTCTCCTGCTGGGTTTTTGGTGCCGTCTTCTTGTGGTGTCTCATGGGTATATTCTACTGTACTTTTCATCTCAAGTTGATATTTCTCTGTTTTTTTAAACTTGTTCCGATTACAAGCCTCTTGACTTTTACTGTATCAGGTAAATGTTTCAAATTGACAATACTGGCCTAAACGAAAGGCATTATGTGACAGTTAATACAAGATTAGAATATCACTATCTTTAAACCTAATCATTTCATAACTTGTACAGAATAAATTCAAGAGGTCAGTAAGTAAACTTCTCATAATGAAATGTGACTTTCTCATTTACACAACCGCTTAAAAACTCTACCCTACAGGACCTGTAGTTGAAAACATAGTAATCCAATAATATTAATTAACAACTTGTCTTCATAGTTTGAGAAATTTTCTCCTGTATTGTATATGTTCAGCCAAAGTAACAGGTTCTTGCGAGCTTTGTTTTTAAAGTAGTTTTATCATTCATTTTCAGTTTGTTGAGCTCCTGATAAAATAAGCTACTCCATATTACATGTACTGCCTTACAGTAGCTCAATACTCAGTATATTCACCACCACTACCCCCAAAAGGAAAACCTCCAAAATATATTAATTTTGTCACCGTAATTAAAAACAAATAATGGCATAAATCCATTAATACCACATATATTTAAATAAAAACACCTCGAAAATTATTTAAGTGGTGAGTGGTTTAACTGGCTTTTTAGAATGTGTTCTCTTCTGAAGTATGAAAAACATGGCATGCAGAAATAAACTTCCAGTGATGAAGTGTCTGGTTTGTTCAAAGATTTTAAGAATCATTCAGAGTAAGAGAAGAAACTTTCTGTAGCTACAATCTGTTGTACACTACACTTTAAACTACAGTTCTTGAAACATGTAATGCAAAGGTTGGGCATAATTATTGCATCATGTGCAGTGAGTGACAAGTAATTCTAAGTCTTAAAAGTTTTTTTTTTTCCTTCAGTGACACTTTAGAACATCTTATCCTTTTTTTTAAAAGACCCAGTATAGTCTCAGCTGTATACTTGTGACATTTACCTAAGAAAGGTACTTGTTTTAAAACATAATTAATGGAAAAAACATGCTGTTAATGGAGATTTGTTAAAATAAAAGAAACAAAGCTGTCCATTGCTTCACATGATCTGCAAACTGTACATTGTGTCATCTGTTTAAAACCATATCGGTGTCTTGTCTTTCTTCCTTTTCAGAGCATTTTCGAAAAAATCCCTCTCAATTTAGAGTACATAAAATTGGATCAAATAAGTTTGAATTCTTTGATTTTATTTATAGTATTAAATGCCTTCTGTTAATTTTGTAGCAATCGTAAGCGAAATGTTTTAAAATTAAATGAGAAATGCTTTTTGTGACTTGGTTCTTTCTTTGGTTAAATCAGTGCAAACCACAAGCAACATAAGTTCAGCCAGGCATAAATTGTTAGTGGTCATCTACTATTGTATATGTTCCCTTCTGCCTGATAAGATCCTATTCAGCTGGTCATTTTATGGTTATGCTTATCACGATATCCAGGACACCTAAGACATTATAGTGCTGTTGTTGCAATATAAGTGAGTGTAAAATCTCACCATCCCATTTTATAGACAGAAGTACACACACATGGCTCACCATGAATTTTAGATTTTCATTACAATGACATACAGTATAATATAATATCAGAGAAACTTTATCAAGTATTATTATTAATGCTTCAAAGTAAGGATGATCGTTCTAAAATTTCCTTAAGACACTATTTAGTTTTCCCAATTTAGACTTTTACTGAATGTAAATTGTTTAGATGTTCACACTACTTTTTGATGAGCAGAGAATGTTGCCTTTATGTATCCTTATATTGCAGGTTTAATAGCTTTTTTTCATCTATTTTTCTAGTGACTAACCCGGAACTTCTCGCTTAAAGGGTTTTTGAATTTAATGTTACACTGTATGTTTATAGATATGTATCAGCGAGGGAAACTTTGGAGGACATAAGCCAGTCTGAAGCGTGAGTTAGAATTTTTTATGCCTGTTTCTGTTGCTAAAACCTTCCATGGCTGAAGGGCAGTCAGTTTGCATTAACCTTGACTTTCTCTTGTGTCTGTGTGTTTTAGGGGAATGTGGGTCAACTTCAAATTTAGCCTACCCCTTTTTTTATTTAGTGATGCACCTAGAATTTTCATGTTTTCTAAAAACTCTTATCAGGCGGGTTTTAATAAGGTAATTTTTTTTTTATATTGTTTATATTATAGCTATAGGGATTCTTGTGTTTGCCTGATACAAATGTTAATTGTATGTCTTCTGTGTTAGGAGTATTCAAGTTAACAGACAAATCTTTTTACTTAAAACTGCAAGATAAAGAGCATAATCAGTTATTGGCACAGAAGACTGAAAAGTGAGATATTTAATGCTCTACAACTGTGGGTTTATTCAGTTTAGACTCACATTTGTTTCATGTAAATTAGTTCTTACACAAAAAGAAGGAATTAGCTGCTAGTCCTGTTTTTTTCTAGAGGTTCTTATAGTTGCCAATAAGCTTGAATGCCTGCTGCTAGGCAAATAAGTTATCTTGAATAAGGTTCTTTTCCTCACTAGAAAACACAAAACACACTTTGCTTCCTAACGTCACTACAAAGTTAAGCGATGTCCTGCATTCATTTTTTGCCATGTTGATCTAATGTAACAGCTTTCTGCAAACTTCATTTTAATGTAGTTTTATTATTCAGTTACAATTAGTTGAACTCCTGATAAAATGATATACAGTAGCTCACTATTCACTATAAATTATTTGTAGAAAATATAAAAGCGATCAATATTTTGAATTGGTTTACATTTTTCACAAGTAGTTTAGTCTTCTAAAGAATGATCTTTGATAACTCAAAGATATATATTTTAAAGTTACTACGGCCACAAGAATTTTCTTTAAAATGGAGTCTACTTTTTAACCAAGACCCATTATACCTTTAGAATGAAACCTGGTATGTTAAAAAGGATACCAGAAATCCCTGTGATTTGACTTCACAGAAGCGCATGCAAAGTTTTGCCTGAAAAGATTTGAGAGATATTTACTGTTTTGCTCTTCTGTAGTTGGGATATATTTCATGCTGTGCTTTGTTGCTGCTTCCTAGTGTTACAATATGCATATTTGAAAAGCATTATGAAATATGTTTAAATACAAGTCATTGTCATAGTTTTCTATGATGCTTTATATGCTAACTACATCTGTGTATATGTAGTGCTGTGTAAATGTATAAGTATTGTGTTACATGTATCTTTAGGATTATGTAGGGTAATACCATACCGTTTTTGTTTTTTCTCATTAACAAAAATGTCCAGTGTTAAATGTAGGATTTCTGTGTGTTGACGTTTAGGGTCCTACTGATTTCACAGCAGCTCTCAGCTGGCTATGTTTATTTTTCTTAAGTGACATCTTTTTGCAAATACCTTTTATATTTGTTGACCGTTTAATTCTTTTACATTTCAGAATCATTCCTGAGCTTATTTAGTCATCTCTTTTGTTCATGGAGAAAATTTTTGACCTTTAAGTATAAATATGACTGTCTAGTATATTTTTATTATTTGGTTTCAGTAAGTATAGAGGAGACCTACACTTAACTCATGCTGTCTTGGCCGATGTAGTATCCATTCATGACAGATATACTAGTTACCACACCTTTGTGGACTCAGCACTAGCTAAACAGTGTTTCACAAAGTCGTAAACGCCCATGTTTAAAGTTGTTTTGAGTACATTTAAGGGAAATGCTTTTACAACCTATAGACTTGTGCCTTTGGTCTTGTCTAACTTGACCATGTGATTTATATGTTCTGAGATGTTTAGCCTATATTGCACAATTGTTTTAATCTAAATCTGGGGTGTCAAGACTGTGAATGTTATTTTTACACCATAGAAAAGATTAAGAAGTGCTGGACCAAGGGTTTGGAGTCTGAGATATCCAAAAAAAACTTGAAAAGGCTGTTAAATTCTAACCTGTTTCTTTATGGATATTTTGTTTGTAAAATAGTACTCTGTTCTACAGTCATTGCCAAGTGTCTGTGTAATAGGGAATGTTTGAAAATGAGTAAAGTTGTGTATTACAAGATCGGTACAGGAAACTTATAGTGTGCATTCTGGTAATAAGTGGAATCTTTTTTAAAAATCTGATTATAATTAATACATTTTCTAAATTTGTAATTACTTTTTTTAATAACTGACTTCTCAGACAGCATTCAGTACCTATGCATGTGCTGTAAAATGCTGCAAACTATAAGGGTACATGAATTGCTTAAATAGTTTAAAAGACTTTTTAAGCTGGGTACAATATCAAAGTAAAATGCTTGATACAGTTATTAATTTTAAATAAACTCCAAGGTTTAACGTCTTTTTCCATGGCTTAAGATCTGAAATGGTGTATAAAGCACGTTGTAAGTCCCTTTAAAAAAGGATCATGGTTTTTCGGCTTTGCTGGGATGTTTTTGGTGGCTGCTTCAGTGCCTTGCTTTCTATTTTAGGGTTTGATTCTTTATTGATATTCTAACTTTGTTCTTTGTAGGTTTCCCATGATGCTTGTGTCAACTAACCCATTGTGTGGAGTAGCTTGTGACACAGATTTCCACCTAGTATCCTCATTGAAATACAAACAGACATATACAATGTTTCCTTATTTCCTGCAGGTATAAGAAGACTCAGGAGACACTTTCTCAGGCAGGCCAGAAGACCTCTGCAGCCCTGTCCACTGTTGGCACTGCTATCAGCAGAAAGATTGGAGATATGAGGTAACACTTTAGACTTATCTGTAAACGCATACGTGCAAGTCATAAAGCTATATCAGGTAAGCCTGGTGTTTAGAGACCCACCTTTGTTTAACAATACTGGACCCATAATATATCATATAGAAATAGTGCACCGTGGCTAATATCTGTGTATGATGGCTTCTGTGATTTAAACTAGCGTATTTTTTGGTTTAGTAATGTTCAGTGGTAGAGTTAGCATTCTTTTGTTAAGCTACTTAAATATAGCAAATTATAAGACTATAGTTGAGAAATCTCTAATATTGCTAGTGAATAAGTGTAAATTGCCATTTTGTTTTTTACGAGTGTTTCGGTTACAATTATCAAGCATGCTCTAAACCTAGTTGTTGGGCTGAATCACTTTTCAGTTTCACTTCACACTTTTGAGCATGAATTCAACTGTGTCTTAAACATGTTTAATTTGAAAGGGCTATTAGTAATATCTAAAACTGGGTGCAACGAAACTACCAAAATCTTTTGAGTTCTTGGCTGCCTACCTCTCCAAATGAAGCTGGTTAAAGAATGAATTAGTTCTTAAATGCAAGGAAATATGCTCATTACTAAAATGGTAAAATGTCATCTGTAAAGGAGACCATCCAGGTAGTTTTACTTTTACTCAACTGTATTCTTTTTACACATGCAAACTGGGAGAGTTTTTAATAACCAGGCACTTAAAACCAAAGAGATTGCAACTGAATAGTAGTATAGATTGAAAGAGAAGTTGCTGTAGGAGAGGGATTCAAAAGAAGGGGATTGATTTCAATCATTTTATCTTGGGAGAGTTTACTGAAGTTATACAACTCTACTGTAAGTCTCAGTGCCAGACAGAAAGAATAAGATATAAAACATGCTGACACCCCAGAATAATGCTCTTCATCTGGGCAATCCTACAGCAACGGTGATGTGTATGGCTCTCCATTAATTACATAAAGTAGAATTTAATATCTCTTCTGGCCTCCAGAATACCAAAACAGCTTGTGGTTTTTGCTGTTTCACTGAATCAGATCGTCTGCCTTGCTGAGAAATTCAAGCCTGTGCTGTATCTATTAACGAAATGAGGGGGGGGGGTCCAACTCTTGTCTATTAGTAAAATACAGGTGTCACCCACTAGCTAGATATTGCTCCTCTGCAGCTCAGAGAAGAATTTTTCCACTTCACTTGCCTTGTTGAACAGCCTGCATTGGCCAGCATGGATGATTGTCACCTTGGCTGGGTATAACAGGAAGCTTTGTCAGCTGGTAAAGGGGCTACTGCACTGTGGCAAAACACTGTGCCGTGAGACTTTAATGCTTTGGAATGAACTGCAGTGATGCTCCTTCATGCCAGAAAGGTGCATCTTAATTTACGACTGCCTGAATCATGACTTATTAATCACTATAGCAAAGGAATTAAAAAAAAAAATAAAGGTACAAGGTCTCTCTATACACAGAAGCCATCCTATATATCCCAGGTATGCACATGTCATTAACGGACCTGGTGGTTGCGGGCAAGAGCGGGCATTTTAGTAGATGTTTATGTAAAAAGTACATAGAATAATCTACCTCGTTACTAGCTGGCAAGACAGTATATAAGTTTAATGGCTTTTGTCCTGCAGTTCAGCAACATGGGACTTAAAAAAGGTTATTTCCTTCTCCAACACTCTGGTACAGCGGGCACCTGGACATCCACTAGCTTACTTTCTTTGTTAAAAGATCACAGAGCAGTTGCATAATTCTCCGCTCAAGCTGAGACTGGAGGGTCTCCAGAGTGGACATCAGTGAAGAGATCAGTTTCATCAATGTCCCCGAGACAACTGACACAAAATCCCTCTCCGGTTGGAGCTGAGCATTGTAGAGTCATGGTCGTAGCACTGTTCAGGAAAGAGAAGTGACCACAGTGACTGCTCTGGCCTCAGAAGGAAAGGTTGATTTCTGGATTTCTTGCCCTTGACTGTGGGGAGGATCAGCCATGCTTCCCATGGACTTCATAAACAGCATGTAGCTGTAAAGGCTGCACCAAACTAAATTTGAACTATTTTGAGAAAACAGTGTGTGAAAAGAGATCTTTACTATGCTGTGATTTTAGCTGTAAGCCGCGTGAAGTCTTCTTTTCCTGCCAAATTGAAGTCTGTGAAAGATTTCTGTAGTTCTTCCTACTTGTTGTTCTGCTTGGTGTGAAGGTCTACAGGGTTAGTTTGCTTTTTTATTTTATGCTCCAAGATGTGTAAAATGTTCATTTATGCATAGAGCTTCAATTGCTCTGGTGCAATGGCCATAGATAAATCTGTCAATTTATCCTTCCCTTCTTATGAATTCTAATCAAAATTAGATCATGTAATTCTTAACCTGGATTTGGAAAGCACAGGCTCCAAATTTAGAACTCGGCTAAAGGATTGCACTCATGCAATGGTTCGTGAATCTGTTCAGTTTTGTACTTGTTTGTCATGGTGCTTTCAAACATTTTGTGGTTAGTAACAGTAACCCGTGACATTCCGATATTGAAGGCATTGGTCACTGATTGTTAGTGTTGTTTTCCAGTGCAGACATCAAAAGCCTTCCCAAACATTTGAGACTGTTAAGAAACATGTCATTACCTCCACTTGACTGAGCACCAACAAGTTCAAAGCCGATTTATTGTGGTCAGTCTCAAATGTTATCCATGATCTTTCATGTGACTCGGCTTCTTCTGGTATGATGCACGCAATTTGACCAGTTCTTTCTTGATTTTATAGAGCTAAATGCAGTTGTTTGTCCAATCAGTATCAATGCTGACCAATTCGGTGTGTGTTTTGTAGTAATTGGCATGCAGCCGCTAAGTGTTTCCTCATTTTTATTTGGCTAGAAATGGCTTTGCTTACCTTTTATTTTTCTCCCTTTTTTGCTGCCTATTGGTTCTTCAGGGCCCTACCTTTCTCACATTCATTTGGGTAAGATAAAGGTGTAGTAGTACAAGCCTGGGTGGAAGAGTTAAATGTGTGTTTTTCATCGATCGGAACAAGACCTGCTGTGTTTAACTGGCATGCAGGGAGAGAAATATTTTTGCTTTCGTTTAACTGCTTTTTCCCCAAAAAAGAAGCAGACGGAAAGGACTTTCCCTTTTTTGTCATTGGCAGATTTTCCTGCTGTTCATTATTTTCATTTTGGGGTTTGAATTCATATTAGAAATATCCAGATATCAGTTAATGAATGATTTTACCTTTGGCTGCTTATGGATATGTACATATTTAACTGTTTGCAGTTAGATTGCCTAGATTTTCTACCTTTCCGAAGTTTACTGCATTACTTACTGCCTTTCTGTTCTTGCCTGTCTTAACACTCACTTCTTTGTCTCCTTAATGCGTTCCAAATAGCAGTTACTCCATTCGCCACTCAATAAGTATGCCTGCTATGAGGTAAAGTACTTGGTAGATTTGTAGTTAATTCCATGTCATAGTGATAAAAAAACATTCACAGTCAGACTTCATTTCAGGACAGGTTTCTCTTTGGCTCAACTTTTATATTAATGATGCTGGCATTTCAAAATGGAAATTGCAAGGGCAACAGTTTTGGTCACCTGGTTCAGCAGCACTTTCTAAAAGGTTACAGAGATCAAAACGCTAAGTTTTTTTTTTCTCGCTGTATTTTTTCATTGTTTTCATTTGAATTTCAGATTTAATTCTTTAATTCAGAATTTCTAAGTATTACAGATGTCACACTGACCAATTAAGTAGTATATAAATTCATAAGACTTCAATTTTAATGTTAAAGAACTATTTAAAACTGGACCAGGGTGCTCTTTTAGGTGTTATTATTATAAGGTCAGTTCAGGTTTTTGCATGAAAGACTACTTATTTTATTGTAGTTATGTTTTAAGTTTATATATACATTTCTTTTAGTCCTTTGTCCAACATAACTTCCTTTATTTTTGTAGGAACTCGCCAACATTCAAATCCTTTGAAGATAAAGTTGGAAACTTGAAGGTAATACCAAGCTGCAGTGATGTAGTGGTAGAAAACTGGCCCTAGGCGTGCATGTGTCTGTGCCTGTGTGTGCCTTGGAGTGGTGTCCCATCCAGGGTGAACCCTGCCTTGTGCCCGTTGCTTGCTGGGCTGAGCTCTAACTCCCCTGCAGCCCTCAATTGGAAGAAGGTACAAAATGGAGATGGATCAGTTATAGCACATCTAGATGTTTAGACAGTTATTATGCGCATAGAAGGGACATGTACAAATTTGGCTTAAAACACTTGCATATCTGTTCAAGCTAATTTTTTTTCCCCCTTTTTTTTTCCCTGTGTAGCTGAAGGTCGTTGGAGGCACTGGGAATGGAGAAGGTGCACGCTCGCCATCTGAAACCAGTCCTGTTCAAGACAAGGCTCCCTTCTAAAGCACATCTCCTAGGACTGTGTTCTCACTTTATCTGAAGCCCTTATGTAACATCTCAGCTGCAATGACACCCCCCAGTACAAACGCATGTGCATATATCTGTTGATTTGATTGTACAAATACAAATAGGATTATATATGATTGCCACAAATTGTAAAAATGTTAACCATTTTGTATTATAAACAATTTTACACTGCATTGCATAATGTTTTTACATAACTTTTATCAATATACTGCCTCCTTACTGGCACTTGTGGGTGAGGGCTTAAGAAAAAATAATTTAAAAGGTTGGTTATCTGCATTTTGTACTTGTAATAATACTTACACCAAACATTAACTTTAGTCCCTTTTTTACACTTAATAATATGAAGCAATGCTTTGATCTTTAAGAGGTGAATGTGGGATCTAATGCCTTTTATTTCACATTGTATCACTTTATGCTTTCTCGGTTTCATTTTAAAGGAGAGTAATTCAGTTTGGAAGGTGTTCAGTTGAACAGTTTGAATTATAAGAATTACTGGGCAGAGGACCAGCTTGTGTAGCAGTAGGTTCAGTTGTGTGCCTCACACCCACTTTATGGTTAAGTAACAATTAGACCCCTACCATTGCTTGAAGCTTAATTAGAATGCCTTCACAAATGGGCATATCAGGGCGGTTTCCCTCATATACCAGTGCCACCTTTTGTTTTCTGCCTTAAGTCTTTATGATGTTAAAGTGCACTTTGGCCAACTTTTAACACAAAAAATTGTTTAAAAAAAAACATGCTCGTGAAGGGCTGATCTTGCAGTTTGTTGAGTTGCTTTTAAAAAAAAAAAACAGTTGTCATGAATGGCTTCTTCTCATTCGGTTGTTATGTTGAATCCTTCCAGAGCATTTCCTTTTCTGTTTGTTCCTGTTTTGTAGTTTTAAAACACTTAGGAAGTGTCGGTTATAGTGAGTTGGGGCTTTAATGTCAGGTTGCCATCTCTGTATACTGCTGCCAATGTAAGTTACTTGATATAGTTTGCTTACTTTCCTCACTAAAACTACTAACTATGCCAACAAAATACAAGGCAGATGTATTGCTAGTTCATCTAGACCTGCGAAATATGATGCTCAGTAAGTTGCAAATACACTATGGGATGCTAAGGGTGAAAATATTAAACGTATACAAGATGAACTACATAGCCACTGTAGGCACAATGAGAATAGTTTTATTAGGTTGTGTGGGTATCATTAGAAATTAAAGGGATCAGTTTGTTATGGTTCGGAGGTAAGATTGCTGGTTGAATTATGGTTTTGTTTTGACGTATATCTGAAGGTAAATAAAGCATTCCTTTAAACAATTGTTTTGTGTTTTTCTTTTGCATTGACAACAAACCACATGATGCCATAGTGCAGCAGACTGAAATGTTGAACAGAAGCTTTCCCACTTTCTAACCTGATATTGTCATGTCTCAGACGCTAAGCAAGGCTGGGCCTGATTGGATTTAAGATGGGAGTCCTCCAAGAAAAGGCAGGTTGCTGCTTTATTCCCAGTGGACCAGAATTTGCAAACAAAATTTCTGAGCATTTCTCTGAGAAGAGACACTGGGCTGTATGAGGTGCTCTCCTTTGGATGTGATGTTAAACCAAGGTCTTGCCAACTTGTTTGTTAAACGTTTCTATTGCATGGTGTTAATCCCAGTGTCCTGGATCAATTTCACATTGGGATTGTGCAATCCCAGTTTCCCCTTTAATTCTTTGTTGAAGTAATCTTTTTCCTCAGTCTCTTCAGCTTTTGAGGCTTCCCTGCAGCAGTATGGCCGCCGAGTCATCACCATCAGAGCTTCAGCCCCTCGGAGGTGGAAGAAGTGGGTTAGAGCGTCTCTTTCTATACGTGAAACCGGTGGGGATATTTGGGCTGTGAATTGTTAAAATGCAAGCAAACTGGCAGTGCAAAACAATGTGATGAGTTGGTGTTCAGTACCTTGATATTTAGAAAAAATAAAAATATAAGGTCTGAAAAGATATAGGTGACAATTGCAGCGTAATAAATTCTTCGAACTGCTGGAGATAGTAGCGTAAAGTTAGGGAATTCGGAATTGTTTTTTTGAGGGGAAAAAAAAGCTGCCCCTCGATTTTTCATGCAAACGACCGTGTTTAAAAAAAAAAAGTGGGAGACGCGGCCTATGTTTTTAGCTTCATGCAAGTGGAAGAACCGGTTCAGTGAGACGTTTCTATTTGCTCATTCCAGACCGCTTTCTAGGTGAGTCGCATCTCGCCTATAAATTGCTCGTTGACGTGAAGGCGACTGCGCATCACATATAGCTCGCCGGTCGTTTGGGATGTCAGGGGAGAGAGACTCCAAATTACCAAACGAAGAAGAAATATTTTAGCTATCTACAACGGTAGTTGGGAACACTACTACTCCTAGATCTATTTACTCCTGAGCAAGGAGCTGCAAGTTCCCTGGTGGTCTAGTGGTTAGGATTCGGCGCTCTCACCGCCGCGGCCCGGGTTCGATTCCCGGTCAGGGAAGAGCTGTTTTTTTTAAAAGTAGTTTCAATTATTCCCGTTGACTCTTCCTTCTTCATTAAAAATGTGCATAAACCATCAAGTGTAAAACCTAATAAAAAATTCATCCTTGTAAATACAGGTATTCACGTTAGACAGGGTATATTGCCCTTTATCGCCGCTAGGGGGGGCTCGAAGAAGGCTCTTTATACCATCTGCTACACTGCTAGTTCAGGTGGGTAGTTGCGTCAGCATGCGGTGGCTGCAAAGGAACAAGTAATAGGTTTATTCCATGCTGAAAAAGAGAAGAGAACACGTTTCGGCCGTGGAGCCTGGGTTCCCGACTACAAGTGTTTCTAGAACGCAAGCGGCAGTGCACGCGTTTGCTTGTAGGAGCTCGACCTGTAGGAGTTCAGCACGAAGAGGTTCTACAATGTCTCCTGTTAACAAATTACATGTTCTGGAATGCATGAATAACATTTAGATAATATTGACGGATTACAGATAACTGTTCAGATCGCCTCTAAACGCCCTGCAGTATTTTTAAGTGAACGACGTTTAGAGAACTAAAATACATCCAAAGTATGTATTTGACACTTTTATTAGCAGACCATTCTTGCAATTAAAGGTACGATTAATTGGCTAGCACTGTAACGCGACTATTACAATTCAGTGTTAAGTCTTGTGGGTAGTCACGAATTTCCAAATAAGGTGTCTTTTGGCATCGAAAACAGAATACTATTTCATACAAGTTTAAAAGCATCATGAAGGATAAAACATGATCTTCAGAACTTAATATTTGAATACATTCGCAGTTTTTATTCTCATGGCGCCTCACTCGATATTACCCTTGGGGCGATGCATTTGCTCCAACCTCTGAAACCCATACGTGCGTGCATGCTCTTCTGGTATGCTATGCTCAAATCCGCGGAATATTTAAAGGCAAAAAAAAAAAGATCCGTGCAGTTGCCCCCCCACAGAAAGCATAAACGATGAAACCCACCTCTATCGTTAGTGCTACGTTTGTGCTGTTGAAAGTAGCGTTTGTGTTGCTTTCGTTTCCGAGATATAACGCTTTGTTTTTCCGGTGATCACCTGACCAAGCACGGTGACTTTGACCTCCAGTGACCCCGTCTGCCGAGTTCAAGCGCTCTGTTACAGTTTAGCTCGTACCCTTAACATTTTAAAGACAATCAATATCCATAAACATATGAGTCTCCTTAGATGTGAATAATACAAAGACATGACGCATACCAACAAGTTAACCATCTATGACATAAACCTGTGGTTGTGATGTATGTAAAATCACCGTGATTGTATTATCTATTTTCTAAGGCACTTTTTCCTTTTCTTTCCCTACCGTGACACGCTGTTGCCAAACGCGTAACTGTGGGATCCCATCGCGACAAGACCTCCGCAGCATGTCATGATAGGGACCCCATGTATATCGCATGTATATCGCGGCAGTGTATATCACGGCTAGCGCCTTGCTTCCATGCCACCCTGGCACTGCTGTCGCAACAAAGATCTCATATCAGGACATAATATACCCAGATAGGACGTGTCGCTATATATGGACTTTGTGTCACGACATGGGATCAGCATACGTCCTATCGCAACACATCAACTCCTGTCGCGACATTGGGGCTGCGCATTTTGTCGTGGTATGTCATATCAGGATATATGGGCTTCATGTCGTGACATGGGGGATTGGCGTTTTGGCCAGGCATGTCATATCGCGATATAGGGCCTTTCATGTCACGACATGGGGCCGGGCACTTTTGCAGGGGTATGTCATATCGCGATATACGGGCTTCATGTCGCGACATAGTCGTGCCGGTTTTTGTCATATCACGATATACAGACTTTATGTCGCGACATGGGGGGTGGGCGTTTTTGCCTGGGCATGTCATATCGCGATATAGGGCCTTTCATGTCGCGACCTGAGCGCGGGGGCGTTTGTCATATCGCGATATGTGGACTCCGTGTCGCGGCATGGGGGGCGTTTTGTCGGGGGTGCGCCATATAGCGACGGTGGTGCCATGAAAATGATGCGCCAGTCGCATTGGGTATTGCGGTGTCCTATCGTGACATGCTATCGGAGTCGTGAACACGCTGTGGATGCCATGACATTCTTTGTATGCTATTCAGTTTTGACCTCAGTGAGACTCTCTTAGATTGATCAGTAATTGCAAACCAGTGGATGTGTTGCTGTATATCCAGCGTGCTCATTCAGCACACACGGTACACACAGAACTTCCGCTGTGGCGCTTTACCCAATCAGAGTGTCGATTCTCACTCTTCACCCAATCGCGGCTCGGACTGTTCGGGGGTTTAGCCAATCACAGGGCTGAGAGCTGTTCGAGCTAGCAGCGCCTGCTGGATCGGCTTGTTTAGTGTCAGTGAGAATCTATTTTTAAAGTGCTTTACTTTTTAGTAAAATAACTACATCGACTTATTTTTTTAACGTCTTTATTGATCCACAGTGTCCCGTTCTCTCCGAAATAAATACATTTTATATTTGCAATTTAGCTGTCTGCGCTGCTTTCTGTAATGAAATATTACAGATATTTGAACAATTTTAATCGTATATTTAAGGTAGGGGAAATACCTTCTGCTTTGTACTTCAAAAATGAATAGAAATGTAAAGTCTATGATAATTGTATTATCATGCTCGTGCTTTAAATTTTATTTTTTATTGTTAAATTATATCGATCTTGAAACTAACACCTAAAAAATGTGAATATGGGCTCTAGTGTTGCACCTGCGGTAATTTGGAAACTGGTGTCTCTTCACCAATGAAAGGAGTATACAAGCCATACATTTTCGAGAACGTGGTTAAAAATGAAAAGAAAACACCTAAACCAATGAACTAACATAGTGACTTTATGTGTGTAAAGACTGCAAAGTCTGGGGTCAACTGATCGAAAGATCACAACTGAAATAATAATAACATCACTTTATTGATGTTTTCCATGTCTCATGGAGAGTAAGATGGGGTATGCGAAAAGGTAATTCCTAATGCAAGAAATTGTAAAGGGTTAATCAAGTGATGTTATTATAATTATTATTATTAAGGTTCCGCTAATTCTGCTGTTTGTTTATACCGCTCGAGAATTGCATTGTATATTGGAAGGGTGCCCCTATGCTGGCAGGACGGTCAGTTAGAGCCCGGGCCACGCACGTTTGCGCGGTCCCACCCAAAAATCAATTTCTGACTACGCCCCTGCTACAAACCTTCATGTTAAGAGTTGTTCAATAAATACACGGCAGGTGGCAATACAGTATAGCGAAAACATCATTCCCGTACATTCGAGTATAATTTAAAATTTAAACTATGTTTAAATTACAACATCAAATCATCCAGGTGGATGCTTCACATTGGTGGTGGTGGAGGGGAGTCCCCATTACCTGTAAAGCGCTGTAAAGTAGAGTGTCCAGAAAAGCGCTATATAAGTGTAAGCAATTATAATTATCATTATACAGTTGTAGATATTATTGTATTAGAATTGATAAAAAAGACAATTCCCTGACCGGGAATCGAACCCGGGCCGCGGCGGTGAGAGCGCCGAATCCTAACCACTAGACCACCAGGGAAGATGTGCGCAACAATCGCCCTGCTTGGCAACTATGTGGATCCTGAGACTTTGTTCCTATGTAATATTTTCCATATTGGTGGTGTTATTTTTGTTTCCTCTAACGGCATTTAGCACGGGAAGTTTCCTCTAGTGTATAATTACATTGGGTTCGAAAATAGAAGAAGCAAAACGCCGCAGCAATGAAAAAGACCTCTATCGAAGCGAGCATAACAGAGGATAAAGTTGGTGTTAATTGTCGGATATGTTTGCAGTTGGCTAGATACTGGTTTAGCCTTGTGCACAAACAGGGATTTGTTTTGTTTAAATGACCTCAACTCGCAAGGAGCTAATCGCGACTTTAGCGGCGGTGTCCGGCTGTTCTTCTGTTGTTGTTTTTTCTATCAGTAGCCACAGTGTCACCCAACACTTTCTCACAGCCCCACAGCCCTGTTCCACTTCTCTGTTAGTCCCGGAGCAGAAGAAACTCTCCGCCTCCCCGCAGTCTGAGCCGTCAGGCGATGACGTCACCCTCCACACAGCATATAACAGCGTGCTCTGAGCGCAGAGGCAGAAGGTACAGTGTAGCTGAGCCTTGCAAAGGACGTGGAGGGTTTTACCCAAAATCATCATTTCAAATGGGCCCCGTCGCCTAGCGTTTATTTTCCCGAGCCTTGCCAACTGAGATCTTAGATTCGGTGTGCAGTTCAAGATCAGCACCACCAACGAGTTAAGAATCAGGTAAGCGTGTGTGTTGGGAGGAGTACAGAAGATGTCGTGTCTGCCTTTGTAATAATGAGTGCTAAAAATGGAGTCAAAATGGAGGAGAAGAGGAGCCATTATACATTAAACTGGTTTAATCTGGTGGGTAGGGCATTGTAATTATAAAACGGCGTGGGTAAACTATTGCATTGTATGGAGTTCGCGGGGTATAATTAGAAAATTGATTTAATTTTGTTAAGAGTGGGACTGAAGCTATTTCGAGATTTAGTCTATAATTTATGAGTTTTGGGCCGCTTTAGGGTTCATGCTGTACGTGACGGCTCTGAGCCCTGAGAAAGCAGTGGCAAAGAAATGAGTTTGCTGTGAATGATAGTGCCGACATTTTATGTATATTAACATGTATTTGCTTAAAAAGGTAATGTCATATTCCCGCAGTATTTTATGACAAACTATTTCCCACAGGTACGGCATGTGATGCTTTTCATTGAAAATGCAATCTTGATAATCTAGTCAATTTTGTGAGTTCAAGAGGTCCCCAGTTTGTTAACTTGACAATGGACTTTCTACTGTGTATGTTAAGTTGTTCTCTTGATTGTAGAAAATTGTTTCAAATTGGGAGGAGTCGTGTTCTACATATTTTAAGATCATGTGTTTTATTTCTCAGAGTACCGTTGTTTAAAACTGATTCTGATTTTATTTCCGTTTCTGTTTTTTTTTTTCAGCTTGGTGATTATATAGTATGAATTTCAACATTCATAACTCTATATCAAGGCTTATCATCTCCCCGGCACTGAGTAGTAAAAAGCTTTAAATTGACGAGGTAAGGTGTATTTTAATTTAGACCCCGAGTCTGTCAACAAATAATGCTATCGCCTCCTGTCCTAAATATCAAATCCTCTCTTAAATCTCTCTTCAGATTATATTGCGCTTGTTAGGATAATCCTATCTTTTCAGTGTAGCTAATCATTAATAAACTCCACAGCTGGTCTCAGCCGCGCTTTGTTTTTGTTTAAAAGAAAGCGGGTTACTTTTGTTTTGCTGTTTCTTTAATACTGTTTAAACAATAAACGGGGTTTTATTTTCCTTTGTTTCTACTATTCGTTTTTTCCCTGTTTTTGAAAGATCTTGCCCATACGAAAACGCAAACTGGACACATTTTTCCTAGCCCGGGGCGGCTGTACCGTTGCAGGGGCTTGCATCATAACATCTACGCAGTGTTTATAATATCCTGTTTATAACAGGATATCGAATTTATTCTATTCAAACTTTGTTTGCCAGTGTATCCCAATGTTGTGAATCTTATATATTACTGCCCCCGAGTTGTCAAAGAACTTGGAAACGGTCCAGTTGTTGGCAGTCCCTTCCTGTCCAATTGTGGGGGAAGGGGAGCAGACTGGAGTGCCCAGCTGTTCCTCTGTAACCTCACACTGTTCTGCTCCATGTGGAATGCTGGGACTTGTTGGTTGTGCAACACTGCGGTGCTGTTGCATAGTTACAGCCCTTACGTTGTGCTAACAGTGTTAGTTTTTTTTTCTTCTGCGGAAAGATGTTGAAAGACGCTCATTATTACATCAAACCCTGTTTGCCCTATTGTTAAATGTCTTGGCTGTTTTTTTTTTCATACAGTAGCTGTGCTATTTTATTTTTCCTGAAGTAGCGGTCACCTTGATCCGACTTGGATCAACATCAGGTCCTAAAGATGATTAATCGCAATGTCGGGATTCCCGTTGACTGTTATCTGAATTGTTGAATGCGTCTTGTGTTGAGAACATACTTAAAACTTCTGTGTGGCTCACAGGGACGCATGTGGCAAGGAAATCCTCGTTTTAGAAACCCAGCCAGCTTCAAACACGTGCGGTTTCTGCTAATCTGTATTCAATTAATAGACCAGGAATGGGTCAATTACAGCCACTTTCCCCTTGTCAATGATGTCATTCCAGGGTTTACCATCAAAGTACAGTGAAGAAAGATCTGAAGGATGGCCGCAATCCCATCAAGTGGCTCACTCATCGCAACCCATGACTACTACAGGAGTAAGTTGCTTTGACCCATAAGGACTAAAGGACTAACCCCTAGTGCTGACAGCAGACCTTCCCAATCACTTCCATTACTCCAGTTTGGCACGATGTCTTACCAAGGACTATGAATAAATTATAGTTCAATCGTATGATTCGTGCCCTGCCTATACTAAAAGTCACATTGAAGTGGACTGCGTACCCCTGTCCTGTCGCCTCCTTTATAATACTGCTGTCTTATTGAAGAGATCTAGTCGGAAGTGAGCTGTTGTCGAATATGCACCCTTATAGAGTCTATTCATTCCAGGGCGTTTAGGTTCCACCTCAAGTAACAGCTCCTGTGGAAGTTCAGAGTATGCTGGGGAGGTCATCCCACATCATCCTGGTAAGATTTGCATCTTAGGAAGAACCTGGAGGTGTAGAGTTCATCACACAGAAGTGTCTTCATTTTTTATTTCCTGTGTCAGAAGGGTGAAACAGTTCTCAGATGAGAGTGAGGAGTGGAAGTTCAGATTTGGTTTTTGGCTGCCTTATTCCTCGTGCAGTTTCCCGTCTTTATCCTGGGGCTGGTTGTTTGGCCGCTTGCAGGAAGTCGAGTTAGTTTTGAGTGTTCAGTCTTAGATAGGGCATTGTTTGCTGTCGGCTGCCTTGACTCAAAGGGAGCAGACAGCATACGACCTTGGCCTCTCACTGGGCTCTCATTCATGGCTATACAGATTAGACACCTTGCCATTAATTTCTGTCTGAAAATGGGCGGTTGATCTTATTTTGGATACTGGGAAATGTTTTCCTCCTTATTCTGCCTATGTTTGAAGATAATCCTGGGCATGTGTGTGTGTAACTAATTACATTGCACACAGAGCTAAAATGAAGACCTTGAATCCTCTTGCCTGTTCACAGGTCTGCCCAAACACCAAGATCCTGGACACTGGTGGTCCAGCTTCTTCTTTGGGAAGCATAACCAACCAACTATGACCACCCTTACTGAATCTCCTCAGAAGTGAGTAGAATGATCAGGAATGCAAATTAATCATGCATGGCCTAGTTTTAACTAGGCCACATTTAAAGAGGAACATGTTTATGGGGTTTGTAAGTGGTGACTTAAGGATTTAGTGGTGTTATTAACCATTTCAGTTCAAGCTTTCTTGGCGGCTCCTCACCCGTTGTCCTGCCTGTCTTGTAGCTCGGGGACCTTCAGCGTGACCAATGAGAAGGTGACCTGTGGGCTGGCCCAGGAGGTGATGAAGAGGCAGCTCAGTGATGCCAGCGAGTCTGGCAAGCCGGAGGCCGGGAGTTCTGCCTGAAGCCGGGGCAGAACGGAACAACGCTAGGTGGCGGAGCAACCCATTTTTACCGTAGACCTAGTTTAGGCTGCTTTAGTCCTTTTTTTTAAAAATGCTAACATAAAAGTAAAAAAAAAAGACAAAAAAAAGACACACCTTTTTATCTTTTTACATCTGTAACACATTTATAACCATACTATCACTTTGTCATCCTGTGTTTACAGATTAATAAAATAGCCTCAAGCAGCCTACTTAAGTGTGTCACCTGCTTTTTTGCAATGCTGAAAAGACCATCCATTTGATTTTTTTTAACCGCTTTATCTGATGCGGGGTCGTGGGAGAGCTGGAGCCTATTTCAGAAAGCAGTGGGCGCTAGGCAGGATACACCCTGGATGGGATGAAGGGCACACGTGACACAAACAAACTCACACCAGGGCCAGTTTTGCCAGAAGACAATTAACTTCCCATTTTGTCTCTGGCCTGTGGGAGGGCACCGGAGCATCTGAAGGAAGCTCATTCAAACACAGGCTGTACACAGACAGCAAGCAACCCAGGAATTGAACCCAGGACCCTAGTGCTGGGAGGCAGTCATGCGAAGCACTGCACCATCTTCCTTCAATATAATTTTAACCCCACCGCACAAACAAGACCACCTTGGAGTAAGGTTGCGTAGAACATCCTGAATGTACGTAAGATAAACTTATCAGACCGCTTCTAGCATAGAGCAGTCACAGTTTGCATAAATGTGAGTGTGCCAGCTCAGTCTAAGAACTGAGTGAAATTGCAAGCACTGCATTCACAGTATTTGCTTTATCTGACAGTTCTTTTTAAACCCCCTGGCATCTATTTTTCTAGATAGAGGAGCAGAACCCTCCCCCTGCTCTCCCCAAAACCTTTAAGTTTTGTGGTGAT